AGAAAAGCTTATAGTTTCGGAAATAAAAGGTGCTGAAAACATTTCACAGATTTCGAGAGGCGATAACTTGAGAGTGGATCGAATTAGAGTAAAGTTCTCTAGCAAAATGAATTGTTTAATAGTATCAAAAAAAAACTGCTAAAATTTCAGACTACCACAACTTGTCGTCTAGAAGAAAAATGATATAAAAAAGCAAATTTTGAAAAAAGGCAAATTTTAAATAACGGTTAGTTTTTCCAACCATTTTGAAATTTCCATGGTCAACTATGCTAAGCACCAGTAAAAGAAGCTAGGATTTAAAACATGTTTGTTTCGTTACAATAAATAGTCAATCATATGTCAATAATAAAGGCATTTTTAGAGCTTTAAGAGCTATAATTTTTAAAGGGAGGGAGATAGAAAAAAAATTTTCAGCGCAAGTACGATTAGTAATCTTCTAATCTCTAGATTTATCTTAAAGAGTGAAAAAGTATTATAAACAGGCACACAGGTGAATGTGTGAACAGAGTGAAACGAGCATAGTATTAAGTTCGTCATTTTGCAATTTATCAAAGAAAAACCATTAAGAGATTTAGGAGCTATATGTTGCAGAATAAAAAATTTTTTAAACAGTTTAATACTGTTTCGCAAGGAAAAATAAACTTAGTTCGCAAAAATATCTCTTTTATTGCAATCTAATAGAACTCAAAAGCAGAGATTTTTCATGAAATTATTTGACCTCACATATTTTTCCTAGGTATAATCTTTGTGTTCAAAAATATTCTATAAATTTTTTGGAAGTTTTTAATAAACTCAAACAATACCAAATTTCAAACCAAAAAAGAGCACTGTTAAAATGAAACATTTTTATTTGAAAAAAAAAACTTGTATAACTTTGTGTAAACATAAATTTTCTTCGGCAAAATTTCCATATATTTTTTCTTTAAAAGTTATTAATTATTTTTTAAATTGTCCTGCATTTACGTTTTCTGTACAAGGTCATGTACACTTTATATATACATTTGAATTTGAATATGTGTTATGAGACAAATAAATCTACAAACAAATTACATTTTTATAAATTTGCACAATACAAGTATTTCCATTAAATGCTGACATTACCAGTCACGATTCGAAATTTAAGCTATTTAGCCAAATAGATTTAATTATACCAAAACTTTATTTTATTATTATAAATAAGAAAAAAATTTCAAATAATTCATAATTCAGGATTTTTTCGGGAGAATTAGGACAATACAAATGAATACGTACATTTGACTTATGAATAATTCATTTACCTAGAAAAAATCAGTAATTACTCCAAAATTTACTGCCCAAAAAAATATCAGTATTATGGCTAGTGGGTACCCAAATATGAAATTAATAACATTTAATTCTTGTTTATAAAACTTGATTCCAAATTTTGTTCCATGTTGTATACTCTCTTTTATAAAGATTTTCGTTTTTCCCTTAACAAAATGCAAATATTAATTAAAAATTCTCAAACATCCAAGCTACAACCACCATATTCAAAAAATAAATGAATTTCTTGTAAATGATATATTTATGTTATAAATTATTATTACAGTTATTTGTAATAAAATAGCCAACAATAAAATGTCATAAACATTTCAATTATGTATATATATATAGCGGTATGTTAAACAATTTAGAAAGGTATACAAAGACGATAAGTATAGTGTTTGCGCAGCACCATATGAAATGAAAAATATGTAAACAATTTACCTTCTGCATACACTAATGATTATGTGATTGCAAATGTAAATTCATTCTTAAACACGCGAATCTCTACATAAAAATATATGCACACATGCTAATATAGATACAGATATATGCCAATCTATATACATATTTATGTTATGATAATTTCTAACTTATATATTTTAACGCTCTCTTTTGTTATTCATTAATATGTAATTATGAAACCTTACAAGAACAGCAGAAAATTGAATCTTCATTCAATTTCAGCCTTACTATGTATGTTAAAGAATTCATGGATATGTAGACATAATATAATATTATATATGTACATGCAGTATAAAAGGATTGAATTTACACGAATAAACTTAAGTTTGTTTGTGTACGTACTATGTTTTTTGTTCTTAACTTCTTAATATGACAAGTAATAATTCTAATCGAAAAGGTGTATAGAGCTTAACACATCACAAATAAAATGAAAAACTATGAAAAGAGTTTACAAAACTAAATCTAAAACAATTAAAAAAAGTGACTTTGTTCAGCTGGGAAGTCATAGTTCTACACCAAACAAAAATCATGAAATACATACCTACATATCAATGAACACATGCATTTAACAAAAAACTATTTTGAAACTATGGAATCACACAATAATTAGATGCTATCAGAAAATTTTGCTAGTCAGTTGATACATTATAGGTTGCTTTTATTATTTACCAATCACAAGTAATTATACGAGTATATGGACTTGTCATACATGATACATGTCAAATGTAACGTCAAATCAAGCTTTAATAGCACGAAATTCTTTTCTACTCGGCTATTGCAAAATGTTGTCAATACGTCACTAATATATGAACGTATATAAAACGTATGAAAATAGCATAAATTCAAAATGCTCCAAAATTTTTCTGTGTATATTCATTTTGTACAGAACCATACATTTTCTGAATACATACGACATCAGTCGTCTACATAAATAAAAATAATTTAAGAAATAAGAATAACTTTATTCCTTCAACCCCCAGTTTGACCTTAACCAAAATAATAAGCAACAGCTTTAATAAAATTTTTAATTTTTTCGCAAAGTACTCTAACTTAATTTCAAACCTAAAACAACATAACATGCTATAACTCTACTGAAAACGAATAACATAACATAGAATAGAATGTTTTTAATTTCAATCATGAAAAAATTTTAAATTTAATTCCATTTCAAAATATAAAATAAATATTATTCCGTTATATAAATTAAGTATGGAAGCACATATAGCCAGTTTACTAAAACTTTGCAACTCAAAATTTGCACATTTAAGAAATATTTATTTTAAAATTTTTTAGTTAATATGCTTATAATTCATTGTAAGCGACAATTTTCAAGCTGGAAAAATCGCTTTTTGTAAAAAAAATGTTTTAAGTATTTATTTACTAAAAGCATGTACAAATTCATCAGTACCAGATCTCAATAAATATTGTAATAGATATTAAAATACTTTTGATAAAATAAATTATATTCGATTTAGGGCAGATACGAGTATGTATATAGTCGTATTATGTACAAGTAATGCATATGAACATAGTACTTGAGTTGAACAAAAAACAACTGAGATGATGTGGAATCTAACATTTTCATTTTAAAAAATAATAAAGTGAATATTATTAATTCAAAGTTTCTGGTATATTATTAATTCTTTCACTTTTAAAAATATGAATTAAATTAATTTACAAAATACTAAAAACTTATTGAAAATGCTAGAAAACATTACAAATCTGTTAAACACTGTTATCACTAATATTATTTAATAATGCAATTACATTTAATGAGCTACCGGATGTGATTAAAGACAATTCCAAAATGTACTCAACTGTATATACCAAGTATCTAAGAGAACAGAATGTTTATTTCTTGTCCTATCTATTCCTAAATTCCTATAAGAATTTCATTTTCTCTCATTCTATTTACATTCTCTTGCTCTAATATTTACTTTTATTCATATTTCATATTATATTATTTAAGCATAATAAATAACGTGGTATGTAAATATAATCATAATGTATTACAAAACATGAAACAATTTAAAACCTAAACAAAATATTATTACAAATCACTCTCTGCATTTATATATGAAAATTAAAAAGAACAGAAAAGAGTCTCGTTACGTTATTCGTTACTCTACTTCAAATCTCTTTTGTATATAAATATTCCTGCCAATCTTCTTTAAAATATCTAAATATTTTATCAATACTACAATTATTAGCATGTTATACATTTACTGCCACTTTAGAACGTGGAGTTACTGTCACTCTTCTACAACTATTGCTAGAAAAAAAAAAACTATAGTTTTACTATATTGGCACTGTAGAAATATTTGTTTATTAATTCTAGTATTCCTTAACAAAACAACAGCAAAGAAATATAAAACCATTATTAAAGGAACTGCATGCTTACTTATTCATATCTGCAGCCAGTTACGTATTGAGCATGAAAAATTATTTGCATATTTTGCCAAAATAGGTGAATATTCCTAAAATTTATTTAATTGTTTAAAAAAGCGATTAAAAATTTTTTTAGCAGCAAATAGTAAGTACGTAATTGCATTTTCATCCGTTCAGAAAGTCAATAAACATAAATCACTGATATTACAAATAAACTCTGCTCTTCTTTACCGAATTGTAGGCTTCAGACTATGTTAAGCTACCTTTCAAGTATAATAAAAAATAACCTGTATATTACGTCATTATCTAACAAAAGTCTATACGGAATTATAAGAAATTTTACGTTAAATATTTAGCTAAAAGTAAACGCAATTGTGTGACTTTTTTCGATAGACTAGCCGACACTTAATTTCGGTAGAAATTCATAATGAAACTTCCAAATCTCAATTTAAAATGTATGTTCATAAAAAATAATAATTATTAATCTACTAATAAATTAATAACGCTTTTAGGAAAAATGTAGGATAAACTTAAATAAATTACCACAAGAATGAAAATAAGTGTGCAGTTTAATAATTATTAATATCTTTAACTTATCTATAAATATTTTGCCGATCTGGCAATACTTAATTCGGGAAAATTGTTTATACATATTTATAAAATATTTCTCAAAATTATATTTTTCTCTTCCCCAACAAATTTAATATCATCAAAATGCTCCCCTATTCAGTATTCTCAATTCTCATACGAAAAACACAAAAACAACAAAAAAAAAATAAAAGAAAATAGAAAAATAAATTGGCGGAATAAGTTTTGAATTTCCATTTAGTTTTATTTTGCGTTTTTAGTCAACGATAAGAATTCCATCGAGTAAGTCGTAATTATTATTCGTGTTATGTAATTATTTCGTAATTTGAAAAAATAAAATTTCTTATTATTGAAAAAAAAAACTTAATATTTCGTGATTAATTTAAAAAAAGTATACATACTTGAAAACATCAAACGTTTTTTGCTTTCCTTTTAAAATTTTTTGAAAAAAAAAAAATTAAAATATAAAAAAATACTTATTAGAAAATTATTCACTCGGCCACGGTCAGTCAGTCAAGCCTAATTTGTATTGGAGTGTGGCATAGCATGGCATAATTTCTTTTCTGTTTTCTTATAGAAGCACATGCAATTATACGCGGAATTAATTTAAAAGTGATTTTTATTTTGTTTATAATAAAGAAGAATTTAAAGTATGCAACAAAATACCATAAAAAAAGAAAAAATTAATACAACATTGCCCACTATTTAAGGCAATTTAAAAAATTATATGCTAAATGTGAAAAAAAGTATGTAATTAAAAAAAATTAAAATAAAGTTTTGCTCGATTGAGCATTAAAAGAAGAAAAAATAAATTTAGTTTGTGAATTTTATCATTTTATTTGTTAATTTGCACATTTGAAATTAAAAAATTAAGAAATAAAAAAAAATAAAAAAATGAAATAGAAACTTATTATGTAGGTACATATATAAATGTACATAATATGTATGTATATACCTAAGTACATACATACCTTTTTAATTTAAGCTGTTTATTTAGATTTCTTAAAACGTGCTCCTTTGGTTTTAATTTTTTCATTTCAAAAAATTGCAAACGCAAAAAAAATATATAAATTTTATTTTTTAATTTTAAGAACAAATAAATAATTTGAAATAAATTAGCAAAAATAAAAATGATAATAATGAATGCTAACATACACCCATATAAACTCTAAATTTACTAACTAGATCAAAGTATATCCGAGTCGAGACGATAAATCTTTAGCACATACTTATTTGTGTATAGATCACTTAGGAGCAGAATAGAGCACTAATGATTAACAAACAATGAAAAACATTCTGTTACTTAATTAAAATAAAAACGGGAAAATAATTTTAAATCTCAAAACTTTATTAGACATTTTGATAAGCACTTGTATCTATATAAAGGTACATATTTTAAAGTGTTGCATCAAAATGATTAATTTTTAAATGATTAATTTTTAATACTTAATTAAATAAGTACTTATATAGGTACCTACACGTATAACAAATGTGTCTGCACATTTAGCAAGTCAGCTTCATATTTAAATAAATAATTATTATTTGCTAAATTAAAACCATGTGGAATTTATTTTTGTTTTTGAAATATAAGGTTTTTTACCGTTAATAAAATCCACATTCAAAGATCATTGAAATGTCAAATTTTTAACATCACTGTTATAATTTTTAATCAATCTTTATAAATTTGTTATTCAAACCTACTTCATGCTTTTAAAAAAGCTTTAATAAATTTAATTTTTGAAAACTTATTAAATACATGTAAAGTATATAAGGTTTAGGTGATTTCCCTTAATATAAACCTCCATAAGAAATCGCAACTTCAAGTTATTATTCCTTGATATTATTGTGAAAAACACCAGAAAAGAGTTTAAAACTAAATAAAGATTAATTTCTAATTTTCATTTGATTTAAAATTGATTGAAGAGAAATAGAACTTAAACGAATATTTAATAAAGTTCATGAGCAATTTATGACAACACGTTAAAGGTGGATAGCAAGATGATCAAAAACACATTATCATAAAAGAGAAACAAAGTCAAAGCATGAAAATAATAAAAATGTCAGTATAAAAGGATTTATGTCGAATATTTACATATATATACAATACAAGATTGCATACTTAGTACACTTTTCATAAAATAATGAATGTATTTATTTAAATTTATTATTATGGCGTGACTTTTCGCAATAAATAGACAGATAGGTATATTAAAGGAAGAAATTCGACTGTATGCAAATATATTTACCCTCGTTTCAAGTAAAAAAAATCCTTAATAAGCAGCACATTTACAATACATATAAGCATACAAAAAGGATCCAAATTCTTTTTTAAATATTGAGGTATCACATTTATTGAAGTTGATTTAAAAGTAGTTTTTAAAAATCATGACTATCGTAATTATTTTTTAATAATCGCTTACTTAAACGTTATTGACTGACTTGTACTATATATAAAATGAGCTATTAATCAATACTTATAGTCAATTTGCGGTTGTAGGTACTTAATGTGAATAAAATTTTCTTAACTGCTTTTAAGCTGATTTTTTTCATATTTGTATTGTAATAAGCTTGTACTGGCAACCTAAAATTTAATTAAGTAATATTACATGTAAAAATATTGGATATTAAATTCAAATACCACAAACCTTAAATATGCATGAAATGATGCAAGAATTTTATCGTAATAATCACAAATTGAAAGTTTATTCATGTACTTATATGCTAATATGGCTAATTGAATGAACTTCTATTTTTTGTTTCTTTATACAAATGCATACTTAATCAAAAACAAATTAAAATGTACTGCATTTTTCATGACTAATATTTATAGTTATTTAGTTTGGCTTAAATATAAGTAGTCTAAACCACTGAACAATACACAGTCTAAGCTAGAAAATAAACTGTGAAAACTTAAAAAATCAATTACAACAACTATGTATCATTCGTAATTTTGCCACATAATCCAATCCAATAATTTTAGTGATTTTTAACATTAATGTAATTTGATATTTTCAAAACTACATTTGCAAAGTGTATACTTAATATTAGCGTTATTAAAATAAATTATGAATAGTTTACAATAAATATTAAAATTAAAATTGATGAATGATGACAACTCAAATTCATTAAAATATTTATTATAAATTAGCTAAAATTTCAAAAACACAATAAGTACACACTTATAATATGAGAATGAAAACATTGAAAACGAAAACATTAAATGCATTGTCAAACGATAAGAAAAATTTATCCATTTAAATAATAAAATGAATATTGTTGAAGTGAATGACTTATGCTAAAATAAAAATATTCTAAAATAGATAAATGGAAAATTAAATTAGAATATTAAGAGAGGAAAAAAAAGAGATTGAATGCGCTTCCTGTATTAGAATGAAGAAATCTTACAATTCAATAAAATTTTACCGCGCTTTTAAAAAACAAAAGAAGCAAAATATATATATATATACACCTATTTATTTTAATCTTTGGTATTTCTTCCACTTTAGTGATCATTTTTAAATTAGAACACTTCCGCACTTAACGCCAAGACAATATTACTTATAAACAAAATACAAAATAAAATTTACATAAAATACAAAAGTTCAATCTTATTTTGAAAAAAATTTTTATATGTTAAAGACAAATATGTTTTTCCAATTCAATTAGTTGGAAAATTATAACTATAGTTAGTATCTCAGAATTATTTAAGATTAGAAGAAAATTTACACAAGTATATGTAAGTGTAATAATTTTTCATTAAACCGAACCGCACAATGAAGTGAAGGAGTCTGTATAGAAGTATTTTTAGTAACTTATTCAATTTCAAAATAAATTATGATTAATACTCGTATGAAATACTCAATTGTCTAAATTTTTAATGAGACCTTGTAAAAGGATTAGGCCTCTAACACAAATTAATATTTTATGCCGAATTGTAAAATGCCAATAAGCAAGAAAATAATGTGATATTTTTTCATGATAACCAGGCTGTTACATAAAGTAGCTCTCACTATGTTTTTTTTAATAATATGGACATAGTAACAGCAGATAATCATCGAAAAACAACGATTAACAATGTAAAATGATTTTTTGTTTACAAATAGATTAAGTAACTTTAACTAATTAAACTGCACTGCTAAACTTAGACAAGTAATTATAGATTATTATACTAATGAAAATACAGATAAGATCAAAAAGCTTCAACTTTTTACCAACAAAAATGCTTTAATTTAAATTCCAAATAGAAAAGATTTTTTTTTGTAAAATATTGTTTTCTATATATTTATTAATATAGAAGCTTATTTAATTACATATTTTTTCGTGTCAAGTTGTAAAATTTTCTCAAGTAAGAGTTTAAAATGAAAAATTGGTTCTGGCCTAAGGACAAGTAAATAAAATTTTCCAACAGAATAAATTTCGCTGCTTCTCTTCATAATCTGAAATTTTTGGATTAAGTATAATGTGACCGTATAAACCTTAACGAGGCCGAAATTATAAGTAAATTTAGTGTTAAAATTTTCTTAAATTTGGTATTCTTATATAAGTTCAATAAATGTAGCACAAACATATTATGTAAAATAAGCATTTCTGCCTTTTAACTTTAAATCGATAACTTTCAAATATAAAATCAGTAATCTAAACAATTTTAACGATCTCAAAGCAACAACATTTGCACGTGTAGGATTGAAAAATTGTAAATAAAGATGAAAGCAAAATAATCATAAAAACTGTTTTGAAGGTTATATGATTTTTCTTACATATATGACGTAATCCTTCTTCCAAAGTTTTGTATAGTTTTTTTTCTTTAATAAAAAATACCCCAGTATAATTTAATTATATACTCGTAATTGTTTAACTCATTCTATTAAAGACAAATTAAACTCGAGCATACTTTCTACGCAATACATGACTAGAGATTGAAAAAATTCGTTCACATGTATGTATGTATGTATACATTATACAAACATAGCGACTTCCATTTTTTCTTTGTTATTGTTTCCAAATTCTTAACATCATTTTAGTTTTTCATAAAGCTTTTCTATATAAGGCACGCAAAATATTAAAAATATTTTAAAACCTGTTGATACCATTTTAAAAAGTGTTGATTCAAATAAATTAAAATATTGTTTGGAACGAATTGAAGTTTTACAACAATTTTTGTAAGAAATTCGACCTAATCTTTTAATCTAAATTTGGAAAAATAAAATTATCCTTAATATTCAACTTAGCTTATGTAATTGTAAGAAATCAAGAATTTTAAAAAGTATAACGGATATAGTGAATATTTGTTTCATAAAAAGTAGTTAAAATCTATGGAATAGTAATATTTAGAGGCATTGTGCAATATTTGAATAAAAGGACGAGGTGTTTCTTAGCTAAATAACAAGCATGCAAATATTAAGATTTTTCAATCAATATTTTAAGCTCTAGCAAATTTACATATTATGAAAGTTTCATTGAAACGTTTGCCTTACATTTGAGTATAAATCTTGCCTTACATTTGGGTACGTGCATATTTACATATCTAATCATTAAATGTGGTATGCATACTTTGTACGTAAAGTGTTCTTTTTAAGTAATTTTAGTAACAATAAAAATTTTGATAGCTTCGCAAAAATGTGTAGGGTGTAAAAAATTTAAAAAGCATATATGTATGTATGTAGATTATGCCACACATATTTAAAAATCCTATAAATATTTTAAATAGCGTAAACGCAAAATTAATTTAAAATGTAATAAACAATCA